ACGTGCTCGGCGCTCTCCCGTCCCGCTCGGCGCTCGGCTGGCTTCCCTGCTTAGGTCGAGCGGCGCGCTCCGAGTCCGGGTTCTTCCGTCATGTCGACCGCTATGAACTTCGGCACCAAGAGCTTCCAGCCTCGGCCCCCAGACAAGGGCAGTTTCCCGCTGGATCACTTCGGTGAATCCGGGGGTCGCGGGCAGGATCGCTGTTCCTGGGCCCTAGCGCACCGAGTCTGAGGGGCGGGCAGAGGACGGGCAGGGGGCAGGGCTGAGCTGAGGCGCAGCTTCGCGTTGCGGGTGAAGGGGACTGGGCTGAGGTGCAGGGTCTTTTTGTTTGTTTTTTCTGCGGTACTTGGGATCGAACTCAGGACGTTGAGCTTGTGAGGCAGGTGCGGCAGCACTGAGCTAAATCCCTAGCCCTAAGGTGCAATGTCTAGGGTCAAGAGAGCAGATTTGAGGTGCAGCGTCTGCGGGGAGTAGATATGGGGAGCTGGTCTGAGGTGCTGGCTCTGGGGTGCAGGGTCTAGGGAACAGGTGGACCAGCAGCGTCCATGGGTACAATCCTTGGGGTGACGAGCAAGCAGTGCTCTTGGCCCGTGAGACCATGGCTGCCCAGAGCGCCGTGGAGGGAAACAGGTTTGGGAAGACTGCCATAAACAGACACTCTCCAAGGCATGGACTGTGCAAGTGAGACCTGACAAGAGTGTGTGGCCCTAACGGGACAAGGACAGTGACACCAACTGAGATTCAGTCTTGGGCTTCCCTTTGGCTCTTACTGGCAAGAACTCCTGCCACCCAGTATTGGAGTGAGTTTTGTTAAGAAGCAAAAGTGCTCTAATTCTTCAGCGGGTGTCATTGCAAATAAATATGTATTTTTATTTTTTGTGGCGCTGGCTATTGAACCCAGGACCTGTTAGGTCACATGTTAGCACATGCTAGGCAAGTGCTCTGCCACCCAACTACATCTTCAGCCCAGATATGTGCATGTGAATATTACTAAGTCTACAGCTGTTACGCTTGGTTTCAGTGGGCTTCCCTATACCATGAACTACCCAGTGTCTATACCTGGATTCTGCCCTTAACATTTCCCTGCACTTGCTTCATCACATTGTAGAACTGTTTCTTTCCAGTATTTTTTTTTTCTGTGTGTTTCTGAAGGAATAAATTTGGAGTGGTGTGGTCATCCAATTCACTGCCTCATGCATCTGTCTAGGCAGGCACCCTACCACTGGGGCCACACACCCAGCACTGTGAAGAAAACCAACTTTATGGGTTTGGTTTGGTTTTACAATACTGGGGATTGAACCCAGGGTCTTTACACTGGGCTACATCACTATCCCCTTGTATTTTTTACTTCAAGACAGGATTTTGCTAAGTTCCTTGGGCTAGGCTCAATCCTCTTGTATCAGTTTCCCAGAAGGCTGAGATTAGTGGTGTGCACCACCATCCCCAGATGGGAAGCAAGACTTGAAAAAGAGTAGAGTCACCCTTAAGGCTGCTATGTTAGCAGGTGATATTTTGACTTTAAAAAGATGACGCCATTTTCCTTTTCATTCTATCAAGGTGAATGTAAAAGCTTTAAAGAGAAATTCATGAAGTGTCTCCGTGACAATAATTTTGAAAATGCTTTATGCAGAAATGAATCAAAAGAATATTTAGAGTGCAGAATGGAAAGGCAAGTACAAACTAACATTTACGACTTCACTTCCTACTTCTTCTTCTTCTTTTTTTTTTTTTTGTTTTTTGGTTTATAATTCAGGCTGGGCCTGAACTCACTAGGTAGCCCAGGCTAGCCTCAGACTCAGGGCAATCCTCCTGCCTCTGCCTCCTCTGCTGGAAATACAGACCTTTGCCACCATGCCCAGCCACTTCCTACTTCTAGATTAACACACCCAATCAAAGCCCATAATGGTATGCTCTATTTTGGGCCTGGGGTTCGACAACCATAGATGTTTGCCAGTGAACTTGAAGCTTATCAGATGAGATTGAATGAAAAGCTCTTTAGCAATCTTGGGAACCTCTTCTTGAGTGACAGCATTATGCATGACTGCATTTTTCAGAGCATTTTCTTAGCAAACTAAAGTACTACTGACCTGTCATTAAGACTTCGGAATTGTACATTGTGAAAATGCTGACGAGTCAAAAGATTAGAAAATGGTATGGGCGTAGGCTATTTCTCTCATATTTTCAGACCAGAAAATTGTGCTCAATATTGTTTGGTTCCACTTAACTGTTGGATTGTGACAGCAGAGACAAATAGGCTAAGAAATGATGAAAGATAAATAACTCTTCCTGTCTTAACCAGAGTTCACTCTTAAACAAAATAAAAATGTTTGTAACTGTGATATATAGAGCTTTTACTTAAAACAAGAATTATTCCAATCCTTAATGTAAAAAAGCATATAATGTAAAATTATATGATAGTGGCACTTTCACTTTTGATTTCTGAGCCATTGTCAGCTCTGGATTGATTCATACAGCTTGTCTAGAAGCTGACACTCATCAGAAACTCCCCTGGAGGCATAGGTGCCAGATCATTAGTGTGGACATTTGGGGCTTGAAGGGTGATGAGCTTTTCATTGTGGAGGTGTTCTTATAGGTCTTGAGTCTGTCAAAGGGCCACAGTGCATTCAGCTCCTGCCTCTAAATAGCACATTGATTGGAATAATATTGTTAAGTCACTGTCTTAGCATGTTCATAATGGGGCCATAATTCGTATGTCTTGCTACCAGGTGGCTCTGAACCATCAGTGGTACATACATGACTATCCCATTGGACAGCATGGGACACTCTCATCAGGTGGTTCAGGCTGCCTGATGGGACAGTCATGCATGTACCACCAGTCGTTTGAGCTGGCAGGCATGTTAAACATGCACCTTTAGAAAACTGGAACTGAGGGGCTGAGGGTGCAGCTCAGTGGTAGAGTGCTCCCTGGGTTCAATCCCCAGTGGTGAAAGGAAAGAAAGGAAGAAGAAAGAGAAAGAAAGGGGGAGGGATGGAGGGAGGAAAGAAAAGAGAGAGAATACTGGAACTGAGAATTTCTTCTTGGTGCTACTGTACTTTAGAGAGGGCTGGGGTAGTCTCTGCCTGTTTATGACGGTGTGAGCAGGTCTCCTGCCTCACCCAATTCAGTTCCCAGATTTTCTTTCTGTTGTTTTGAGATGTCTCATTGTGTAGTTCACCCTCACCTTAGACTCATTTATGTAGCCCAGAATGGTCTTAAACTCTCAGTGATCCTCCTGCCTTAGTCTCAGTGTTCTGGGATTGCTGATGTGCATCACCACACATGGGTAGTCCTTAGATCTTGCCAATCTGTGTAATCCAAAGTTCCACAGAGGGAAGCTGATGAAAGTTAACAAGTACTATTAACATGCTTGGGCTCACAGACAAGCAAACAGGCAGATAGGCAGCTGTCACTGCTTGGGTTGCTTCAGAGGGTTTGGCTGGCTTGGGCTCTCCAAAGAAGGTTCTTGGCCTGCCAGGTGAAGGCTTCCACACAGGGACTGCAGAGGGCTTCTCGTTTCCCAATGACCCTGGGCTCACCAACAGCCACCACTATGACCTGTGAGGACAATGGAAGAGGATGTGCAGCATGACTTCCAATGGTTTTACTGATTCTCAAGTGTCATGCATGTGAGCACACAAATGTGTGGCTTCTGATTTGGTCAGTTTCACTGTAGAATTTTGATTGGTTATAATGAGAATCATTGAACATGCAAAGTTTAGGTTGGTCCAGCTTTCCGGAGCCACCCAGGTCAGGTCAGATTTCCTATGATGGCCATCCCCATATATCTGTTCTGTGCATGCCCATTTTTAACCCCTCCCTCCTTTCCTTCCTTGCCCTCATCTTCTTTTCTTTCTGAAATCCCAGGCATTTGTTTGTCCCTACTTACTTTAATATGCATCATTTGTTTGTCTGTTTTTTGAGACAGGGTCTCGCTATGTTTTTCAGGCTGGCCTTGAACTCACCTATGTAGCTGAAGCTGTCCTCAAACTCATGGCAATCCTTTTGCCTCAGCCTCGCGAGTGCTGGGATTACATGCATGCACCACCACACCCAACTAACAATATGCATCTTTTAAAAAACAGACCTCATTGCTTCTTGGCCTTTTGGCTAAGATCAAGTGTAAAAAACAGACCTCAGTAGAGTTCTTAAAGCTATCTTGAGGACCTGAGCTATATAAGCATGATGGGAAAATATGTACATGTCTTGGGTGATCACATTTTCTCATAGAAAAAAGAAACATTAAAATGGGGATTATACTATTAGCAAAAACTACAAAAAATACATGGGTCATCCATGAGTCACACCACCTTTTGGCACCTTCCCTTGTTGTCTTGCCCAGGAATGAAAAAAAAATACATTTGTAAAGTGCTTAACCTGACTTGGGAGTCCATCAATGACATTATTACCATTGTTATTGCCCTAGAGAATAGAGAGCACATAAAATTTTATTGCACCGAATCAGGAGTCAGTGTCTCTAAAATGATGGTGCTGTGATAAACAGCAGTAATTTTCCTTTCCATAAAGATACTGAGTGATTCTTTATCAAAATGGCTAATCCTTTAAAAGTGACCAGGAAGTGGAATGTTTATCATGGTTGATTCCCTTAGGATAAAGAGGCATTGAAACCATTCTTTGGCTTTAGAGCTTGTTCCAAGTCACAGTTGTTCTCTGTGGCCTAGCTCAGAAGCTGGCTTTATGAAGGTTTGCAGGTAGCAGAAGGGATTGATCTCTTGAACTGTTTCTCATTTGGCTTACAGTTTTTCCTCCTTATTCCTTCTTCCTGTCCTAACCATGAGAGGCAGCATCTGAGTAAGTGAGCTACACGTGTTTCCTTTGACCACTGTGACAGGTTCTGCAGACAAGGCAGCTTCACCACACACACTCCGGACCTTCACTGTGTAGGTCAGAAGTCACCCAAGTCTCCCTGGTCTAGTGCTGGCTGTTCCGGTCTCTTCTGGAGGCTGTAAAGCAGAATTTGTCTCTTGCCTTTCCAGAAGCATTCACATCCCTCAGCTCATGGCCCCTTCCTCCCTCATGCCAGCCAGTGGCTATGAATCTCTGATCCTTCTTCCTTTGACATTTCTCTCCAACTGAAGCCAGGAAAGGTTCTGCAGTGTTAAGTACTCGTGTGATTAAATTGTGTCCACCTGCATCACCCAAGGCAGCCTCAGCTGAGTCAGATTGGCAGCCTTAATCTCCCCAAGGGAGGTAACGTGTCCACTGAGTCCAGGGGTAACGTGTCCACTGAGTCCAGGGGTCAGGTGTGGATGTCACTGGGGGTCATCATTCTATTAACCAAGCCTGAGGTCCGCATACAGAGTTATTGGCCAGATATACTCTCTACCAAGATGTAGAGGTGTGTTATTGTTTGCCTATCGTGTTAAATGCTATCTTGTGCATTCTATTCTATAGAATTGCTATACTCTGCATAAATTGTACTTAGTGGGGTTGGGCATCCCTAGGAATGAAAAGGGTGGATCAGAGTCTTTGGCCCTGAGCCACTGCCAACTCATTTCTCGAGGCTGCAACAGAGCAGGAGAAGGTGGGTGATGGGGGCAGGGAGGAGCCTGGTTCCACCTGTGGTCCAGGCAAGTTTCAACATTTCCTCCCTTCTAGGAGTGGTGACACACTTAAACCTTTTGAGGGGCATGATACTTTGGATTACTTAGATTGAAAACCAGAAATGGAGTACTGGCAGGGATAAAGAGAGGCCACATTGTTTGAGGTGCTTACCCGTGTTAGGACTATGTCCCTGGGTATCCAGTGCCAGAGATTTACCCTATGGAGCCCATGGCACATATGCTAAACATTTCAAAGTTACCCTTTGCTAAGAATGGTGCTATATACCTTTGATCTCAGTACTCTGGGAGGCTGAGGCAAAAGGAGGTTTGAGCCCAGCCTGGGCAACTTGGTGACTGAGGGAGACCCTGTCTCAAAATACAAAATAAGAAAAGGACTAGGGATATAGCTCTGTGCAAAGGCTCTGGGTTCAGTCTCCAGAACTTAAAAACAAGTTACGCAAAGTAACAAAGTGTTAGCTTTCGTTCTCTGTGCTGCCTGCTCAGCTCTTCACAGTGCCCTGGTAGCTAGGTGTAAAGAAGGTATAAAGAACTTCTGCAGCTGTCCACCCAGAACATAGCTGCTCAGGGGAGCTGAGTGCAGTCCACCCTGCTTTCTCCAGCTCTGGCTGCACCTCAGGGCTCCATGCACACCTTCGTGGACACCTGTGATGTCTGGGTTCTGTACCGACACCCTGCCTTGACACCTAAGTGTATGCATTGCCCCAGGGCAGGCCCCAGAGTTTTCGGAGTGTGGCCGAAAGGACACACTGTGGGACACATTGAGGCTGAGGACACCTCAGGCCACCAACTCCTGGTTCTGTGGAGAGAACCTGATCTAAGACACAGTGGGTGCCAAGGTCCTCCGGTGTGAAGTGCGTGCCCAGTGTGGACACAAGTGTAGACCTGCCTTCTCTGTCCCTCTCCCTTCTGCTCAGTCCCTCTCTTCCCCGTCCCCCTTTTCTTCCCTCCTTCTGACAACTTTCATTTTTCTTTCAGGCAGCTGATGGCTCAAGAACCACTGGAAAAATTGGGATTTGGAGATTTGGTAGATGGACAGTCAGAGGCTAAGAGTAAATCTTAATGGATGAGGACCATTGGCCATCGGGAGGCCCTGTGCTGAGTCCCGTTGGGGCCTCAGTTTCGCCGTGAATCCACATGGAGTTGCCTCCCAGTTGGTGTGCCTTATAACCGGGGATTTGGCTTGACTTGTGAAGCTTCCAAATCATTTTCATTAATTGCTGTTCTTTTTAGATTCTCATTTTCCCATAAAGGAGTAGTTTAATCTGTCAATCTGCATGCAGCACAGGGTCCCCAGGAGGCTCACAGCGGAAGGGAAGAGCTCTGGAGTGATATCCTGCCTAGGGCACCTTCACACTGTGTTGCTCTGAGCAGCTTTTCCAAGGACCCGCTCACCCTGCAGATTTCAGACTTTTACATGCACGGATGGATGTCAGAGGATAACTGTTCCCTAGGAAAACACTTTCCTTTTTGTATGCACAGCTATCTATGCATGCCAGTTTGGATTTTTTTCTTTTTCTTTACAAATGCGGAGTACAAAATAAGAAATGAAAAATTGTTTGGCTTTTGACCTACTTGCCTTTTTTTTCCCCCCTAGGGATTGAATCCATGGGTGCTGTACCACTAAGCTATATCCCCAGAACTTTTTATTTTGGGACAGGATCTTGCTAAATTGCCCAAGCTGGTCTTGAACTTGTGATCTTACCTCAACTTCCCAAGTAGCTGGGATTACCTATGGGCACCACCACACTTGTACTTCTTGATGTTTAAAATTTTATTTATTTTGGCTGGGCATGCATGGTAGCACATGCCAGTAATCCCAGCACTTGGGAGGCTGAGACAGAAGGATTGCTGCAAGTTCGGTACCAGCCTGGGGTACACAGTGAGTTCCAGAGCAGTCTCAACTACATAGTGAGACTCTGTTTCAAAAAACAAAAACAAAAAACAAAAAAAAAATTTTTTTAAATTGATTTTGTGTGAGGAACAGGGACAGTACTAGGGACTGAACCCAAGGCCCTCACACTGAGCATCATTGCCAGCCATTTTTTGCTTTTTATTTTGAGATTGGATCACTTAAGTTGCCTAGTCTGGGCTGAAATTTATAATCATCCTGCCTCAGACTCCTTGGAGTGCTGGGATTACAGGTATGCACCACCCCAGCTGGCTCTTGATTTTTTTTTTTTTAAGTGCATAGCACTAAGTAGCTTTCTAATCAAGGGTTATTTTCTGATTCATATCAGGCTATATTTATAAAACTAGATTCTTAGTTTCAATCAGTCACTTATTGTACCTCTACAGGCTAGAATACTGAGCATAGTTAGACCCACATAGGTTGTCTTCTGGGTTTTCACCTTGTAATACCACCCACACTTACCTCCCAGCCAGCACTGGCTCAAGACTCCTGGATGGACTGGAGTCATGGCCCTACAGCATCATGTCATTCAGTAAGAAGTACTTGGAGGATACTTCTCATCCCAGGCATCTTTCAAGGTTGACTGTAGAGTTTAAACATTACAGCTGTCTGGTGCCCAAGCAGAATATCTGGGGTGGGTTTGCTGTATGTATCCCGGGGTTCAAAGCCACAAACGGGCCAGTGCCATGTGAGTCTGGGCCTCTGACTTGTCCTGCTTCCCAGCACTGTTGGGAAGGGGTGGCCCCGCAGGCCACTTTACTTGGCTCTTGACATAAAAAAACAAGGTATTTACAGGTAGGAAATCTGTGGTTCACACAGACAGTTCTGAAACTACTGAAGGGTGAAAAACTAGAAATACATTGTGGCTACTGAGAGCCTGCTATACAGAACTGGTGGCTTTCTGACATAAAAGTAGCCAGATGCAGAAATGGGTATAGGTATCTGTGGGTATACAGGGGAACGTTTCCTAGTCTTGTGTTCCAGGGCCTGGGATCCATGACAGCCAGCCCTAGGTACTCGATTCTGACACTGTTCTCTAACAGAAGGAACAGGGTCCCGGCTGAAGCCAGGCCAACATGGGGAGAGTGCAAGATGAGCTGAGAGCATCTCTGCCAGAGAGCAGAGGGACAAAGGACGGGCTGTGGAAGGGATGCAGGAGGCAACAAGCAGAGCTCCCGGGGGCCAAAGCTGAGCTGGTAAGCAAGAAAGAGAATGACTGTAGAATTGTGACCCATGGCATACGTTAGCACCCATGGGTCCACGTTGCTAGAAGACACTGGGTGAGTGTTCATCGGGGAAAGGACAGGTCTTCCTGCCTCGTGGTGCTGTAGGTCAGAGGGTAGGGACTGAGCGTCTGACAGCCGCAGTGATAATAGCTGCAGATGAGAGCCATCAGTGGGCCCTGAAGTTAGTGGCAGAATCTAATGCAGAATGAGTCCAAAGAACTCTCCACTCAGGCCCCTGGTACAGTGACATTGCAGGGGAGGTCACTTTGGCCATGTGGTCGTCACCAGGAATGCAACTTGGAGGACACAGCATTGTGTCTGGGTTGGCTTGTCCTAAATGTACAACCAAAATCCTGAGGAAACACTAGGCCCAGACTGAGGGACAATCTACTAGACAGTTGCTGGTGCACAACTGCCTCAAGCATCGAGGTCACACAGGACAGTGACTGTCTCGGCTGAGCAGTCAGGGAGACAGGACGAGGCATCCCGTGGGTCCTGGAGAGGAAGGACCCCGGGACAGACTCAGAAGGTGGGCCTGCAGGTCAGCGTGACGCCAGGTCAAGCTCCTGCTTTGACACCCTGATGTCGTGTCCAGGTCACTGGGAGAAAAAGAACCTGTCCCACCTTTGCAACTTTTGGAATCTCGGTTACTTTGAAATAAAAAGTTTTTATATAATGCTTTGTAGTGGAGCTTCCTGTGTACATGACTGAGTAAATCCGCATTTGGAAATACATGAATTTTGGGCAGAGGTGATGGCACTGTGACACACAAACTGGCAGGGGATGGGGGGCACAAAGCAGTCTAGTATGGGCCCTGCACCTCTGGTCTCACCTTCCATGGAGGAAGGGTTCCCTTGTGCTGATTTTCTGGGTCTGGTTTTCAAACTTGGGGTTCCTTGGATGTGGCCTGACTCCCTGCCAGGGCTTCCCATAAAACTTTTTTGGTAGTCTATCATTCATCGTGTAAACATGCATTTTATTTCTCCTGTGCCCTGTGATCCCAGCACTATGTGGCTGAGGCAGGAGGATTACAAGTTCAAGCACGGCCTGGGCAACTTGGCATCTTAACAAGACCTTTGTCTCAAAAATAAGGGCTGGGGGGCTGGGGATTTGGCTCAGTGGTTCTGCGGCCTGCCTTGCAAGCACAAGGGCCTGAGTTCAATCCCCAGTACCAAAAAAGAAAAAAGAAAAAAAAAAAGTCTGGGGATGTTCAGGGCAAAGGCCCTGGGTTCAACCCCCTGTATCACAAAAACAAAACCCAGCAGGAGAAAAGATGTAGAACAGGAGGAAGAGGAAGGAAGAATGAGAGAAAAACGGTAGATAGGAGTGGGATAGGTGGTAGAAAGCAGGGGAGGAGAGGGGAGGGGAAGGAGAGGAGAGTGGCTCACAGTACCTGGGGTGGGGAGCTGGTGTCATGTCAAGGGACAGCCCCAACACCTACCCCTTTGCTGGCCTGTCCACCTTTCCTCCAAGAGCATCAGTTCCTCCCCAGGGAAGTCTGTGCATTTCCTGTTGCTGCACTGACTTGCAAACACCGTGGCTTCAAGCAATGTATCTTAGTCTGGAATTCAGATATCTAAAGTGAGTCCAAGGGCTACATTCCTTCAGGGGGCTCTGGGAGAATCATTTCCTTGCATTGCCGCCTTCTAGAGGCTGGACATGTTCCTTGGTGGTGGCCCTTCCTCCATCCTCAAGCCAACAGTGTGTCTTCTTGAAGTCTTGGGGCCTGAGATCCTGTGCTCAGGTCTGTCTGGCTCTGACCCTTGTGCCCATGTATCCTACATCTTATGATCCTACCCCACCTGTGAGCCCCTGTCACTGCATGCATCATTCCAGGGATTAGGACCTGGATGTCCATGGACAGGTCATTCTGCACCCCCGTCCTCCCATGGTTCTCAGGCTAGACCTGGGCATGGTGCCTCAACAGCAGTAAAGTCCTTCTGGTCTAGGGGACCCTTGGTAGCAGCATCCGTGCTGCAGGAGACACAGAGCTCTCTGGTAACTTGGGCTTCTTGTAATTGTCAGCAGCAGCCAGGTTACAGAGTTTTCTCAGGGCCACATTTTAAATCCTGGATTTTTCTGAAATCATTGATGCTGCTGCTTCTTGCAGGCACAGGACAAAAAGAATAATTATGTACCGAACAGACAGAACAGGAAATTTCAGCAGTCCACAGCACGTGTGGCACGGTCCTCATTCTGGCCAAGCCTTTGTCTACCCAGACATGTTCTGATCTGTGCAGACAGGGAGAGGCACTTGGAATGCAGCATAGCACACGTCAGGGACATGGGGACGGAATGGTTGAGGGAGTGTGGCTTGCTGTTAGGTGTTTGTTAATGTACTTTATAACCAGTATTATCATGTTTATAGAAACAGTAAAACCATTTAAAATTCACTGTGGCCAGGTGTGGAGGCACATATCTGTAATACCAGCACTGTAGGAGGCTGAGGCAGGAGGATCAAAAGTTTGAGCCCAGCCTGGGCTTAGCAATACTCCAGCAAGGACTGGGAATGTAGCTCAGTGCAAGGCCCTGGTTTCAGTCCCCAGAATTGGGGGGTGGGTGTTAAGCTCACTTTGTCACCATTTATACCCTCTATAGGTGACGTGCCTGTAGTCATCGTCTCTGGGCAGACGTGCTGGGATGTACCACACACCTGCTGGTGTCACGCAGCACAGGAAGCCACGAGGCAGGCCTGCTGCCCCAGCTAGTCCTCATACCTGTGCCACATGATGGTGCCCAGGGAGGGATTGTCTGTCACCTCCCACCTCCCCAAAAGAAGGCCTCAGCCGTGGCCCAGGTAAGCGTGTGTCCTGTACCCTGGTGCTGGAGGCAGATGGACCAGCCGTTCAGGGTTTCTTTTTGCCCATGTTGCTTTCCAAATGTTTACATTTTTAAAATTTATAACGTAAAAGGCACATTGCTATGAACCCTCCTCAAAGTCCTTCCCCTCACCTTGAACACACTTATCCCATCCTTTGGCACTTTCTGAAGTAGCTCGGGAAGCCCTTTTCCTGGCGTGTCTGCACTACTGTGACTGCTTCAGTGTCCCAAATCCATTCAAAATGTTTCCCTTTCATGGTCATTTTGACTAGAGAAGAGCTAGAAATCACGCGATGCCAGATCTGGTGAACAAGGTGGATGAGGACATGCGTCCTGTTTCTATGAGCCTGCCTTTCCATTGGATGGCACTCAGCAGAACTACTGCATAAAGTGGTAAGGCTGTAATCCTGGTGCTTGAGAGGCTGAGGCATGAGGATTGCTGCAAGTTCAAAGCCAGCACGGGCTACATAGTTCAAGGCCAACCTGAACTACATAGCAAGACCCTGTTTCAAAAAATAAACAGGATGGGGAGTTTAGCTTAGTGGCACCACGCCTACCTTGCAAGCCAAGGTCCTAAGTTCAATACCAAAGCAAACAAA